TCTGGCATTTTGGGCCTCGGCAGACCACCAACATTATAAAATAAAGTGGTCTGCGGTGAGTAAAAGTGTTCTATGTTCATAGTTAAAAAAACAGAACATATTAAGAATCCAATGATAGTTTGATATCCTACATGATATTGAAGGTTGTTTAGCTGCAAGTCCAACTCCATGAAAAAACCTTCTAGTAGATTATGCAGTGGCTTAACCGAGGCTGTCTGTAAGACAAGAAAAGTAGAGTAGAAATTGTTTAGCCCCTGCAGCAAACTGAGCTACATCAAATGTGTCCAAGGCAGTGCAGTCTGTTCTGTGGGCCTGTACCTACATCACTGTGACATGATGAAGAATATAAAAAAGACAATTTTCAAATTCTAAGTAGAGAATTGGTGCATCAACAGAAAAAATAACTTCATTCTTTTCTTCTTACATTTTCTTTGATTTATTTTCAACTTTTAATTTTTTTATTTTAAAGATGTGGGGTACAATTCAGGGTTAGGTATTCAAATGTTCATTATGCAGGTGCCCTTGTTGATGAGATATGCCCCTCCCTTCCCCAGGAAGACTCCCACTACTGCCAATCCTATTTTCCGACCCCCCTCTCGGCAGTTTCCTCCTACTGCCAATACTTTTCTTATAGTATTAAGATAATTGTTCAAGGTCTGTTTATGAGTGAAAACATTTGATTACATCAAATTGAAAGATGGTAGAATTTTTTTTTTTTTTTGAGTTGTTGTCTCACTCTGTAGCCCAGACTGGAGTGCAGTGGATGCTCCCGGCCACCGCAGGCTCGACCTGCTGGACTCCGGCGATCCTTCCGTCTCAGCCTTCCAAGTAGCCGGAATTACAGGCATGCGCTACCACGCCCGGGTGATTTTTTGATTTATTGTAGAGATGAGGTCTCGCTGTCCAGGCGGGTCTCGAGCCGCGGGCTCAGGCAATCCGCTCACCTCAGCCTCCCAAAGGCACGGGATTACAGGCTGAGCCACCGAGCCCGGCAGCTTATATGTTAACATGGTTCTCTGCCATGTATTATAGCCACATTTTAATTTTGTGTCCCAGGGCTGCCATATCCACATAGAAATGGACTGTTCGGTCACATTTCTTTGTTTTTTTTTTCATAAATTTTTATTTTAAAGTACAATTCAGCGTTAGGTATGCAAATGTTCATTATGCAGGTACCCTTGTTGATGAGGTGTGCCTCCCCCTCCCCTGGTAGTTTCCCTCTGCTGCCAATCCCTCTTGTAGAGTATTATGATAATTGTTCAAGGTTTGCTTATGAGTGAGAACATGTGGTACTCAGTTCTTTGTTTCTGTGATAGATCACTCAATATTATAGACTCTAAGTCCATCCAAGTTGCTGTGAAGTTCATAATTTTGCCCTTCTTTATGGCTGCATAATATTCCATAGTGTAAATGTACCACATTTTTAAAATCCAGTCCTTTTCAGTCACATTTCAAAATCTAGCTTCAAAGAAACTTATCAGTGGCTTCATTTATAAATGACAACATATTCAAAATGTGTAAGTGCTTTTCCTTTTAAAGAAACCATTCCCATGGCTAAATTTGAGAATATACTTTTTTAGAAAATATTTCCCACTGAGAAATATGAGTCTATGACTTAATAAAGCAATTTTAAGGTGTTTATAGAAATGAAAGACAATAGTTAAGGATGCTCTTGGTTCTACCAATCCTTGCTGGCTAACTTTGGGCATATTAATTACCTTTTCAAAGCCCCATTCCTCATTATAAAATGGGAAGAATCATAGAACCTCGCTCCTAGAATCTCTGTGAGTGTTAGACAAGATATTTAAGGTATTGCAGGTTTGGCTTTTGGCCTTCTGCTTGGCACATGGTGAGCTCTCAGGAACTGCTAGCTTATGTTATCCCATGATGTCTGCCTTCTTCACGAAGCTGCATGGAAGATGGGGCACGGGTGTTAATGCAGAGGTGATTATACATGTAGTGGTATCAGCACTGTGATTTTTGAGCTCTGGACCGAAACATTTTGAATGATAGATGGGTCAGGCAAGACCCTTCCCAGCCAAGAATCACCAGTTTGCTTTGTGTCTGATGCCCAGTGGTATTCTTGCATCTAGTTTCAAAGATGCCGTTATGGGTGGTGATATTTTTCCATTAGTGTGGATGTCACCAAAGAGATTGCCCACTGGCTCTTTCCCAACAGGCTGAGACTGCCCTTTCGTTTGCAGCCACAGTAACTGTTTGCAGCACCTGATGATGCTCTTTGATGCGCTGCCTTTAAGACTCTATTTCAAAGGATGCTGATTGCTGGCTGCCAGGTGTTCCACCGGTGTCCCCAGCAGTTCACAGCTCCCCTGCCTCCTTTGAAGTTGTGGCTATCACACTGCACACTTCAGTCCACACTTTTCAGTACTCAGGGTCCATAGCTCTCATGGTTATGCAATCACCAAAAAGCCTCACAAAGGCCGTTTATTATCTCCCTTCTGCGAAGGTGGAAAGGTTAGCCCTTCACTGGCTCTCCGTGCATTGTCCCTGTCCCCACATATAGCATTTTTCTCCCTGCCTTGCTCATCTCCTTGGCATTTATGATTCTAAGTAGGGAGATTTCTTGTCACAAATGCATACTGTGAATCACAGAGCCGAGCATCCATGCAACATGGTTAAGACACAGATGCGGCAGCTGGCTTTTATTTTTTTATTTTATGAGGCAACGGACAAATGCAACAGAACCCTAGTGGGGTTGGTAAAGAAGAAATTCTTCTATAAAATTTAATTACCCACAATTGCTTAGAATTAAAAAAAAAGATTCGTTGCAAAGGAAGTATAAAAACACAAGGTGCTATTTTCCAGTTTACAGCCTGCTAGTTGCAAGACTTGCACACGCACGGAGAGCTGGATCAGGGACATTAATGGCATTGATCAGTCTGGGCTGCTGACTTTGATGAGAAAAGGACAAATTTTACACAAGCTGCAAAGATGGCTAACCTTCACAGCGTTCTTTTGAGCTCTGATAAACAATAAAGAAAACCCTCCTTCCTCTCTCTATGTTTCCTAAATAACTATTGCGCTCTTCTCTGTGGGTTTGGTGCATCTTTCAAAGACAGTTCAGCGATGCCATGCATGAAAGACATCCAAAATATCATCCACCAGGAGAGTTCAGCCCAGCAGATATATGGGCGTGTGGGTGCACCCGGGAGTAATCCCACCACCTTACTGAATTCCCAGGTTCTACTGCCGTGAGCCCTGCTCTCTTTAAATTGTGTGTTTGTTTTTTATGTGTTGGCTTTTATGCTTGGTAAGTTATCACCCTGTAGGGGCAGCCCCTAAACCCCGTTTTTAAAAAAAATCAAATTACTTTATACCCTGAGTGCATTCTGCAAATAAAATCGATAAACAGAAGCTTCTGTGGATTTATGGAGGCTTAGGAAGAAGACAACGCAAGCTACAAACTCCGTATCAGACAATGGACACAACTTCTGGTTAATCCTTTCTAGTGAGTGTTTTTCATTAGAAATGTCTCCAAATGATTCATCACATAATTATATTTTGTACAACACCTTCTTTTATCATAACCGCAGATGATAATTGTGCTGGGCAGCTTTTTAAAATTTTTTTATTTTTAATCCTATCTTCCAGTTAATTTGTAGCAGCCTATGACACTACTTTTCTCTGTGTCCTAATTACTCAGTTTCTCATCAGGAGTTGCAGATGTCCCTAACTCTGCTCACTGTTGTGACTCTGCTTCCTACTCTCCACCAGCTCCATTTATGTTGGCAGCCAAAGCTGTACTGTCAAGGACTCCGGTACCAGTTTTCTCCTGAGTCTCTTGGTCCTGCTACTTGATCATTGTTCTCTGCTCTGAGGTTTGGTTCATGGATCAAGTTGTTGACCTTGAAGAGCTTATAACCCAATAGTAGAGAAAAATGAATGCCGTCGACTTGTCGCAGGAAATGGTCATTTTTCCCCCCAAATCCCTCCCCCCAAGGAATATATACAACCTTCAGTCATAAACAACCTATATTTTGCTATAATGAATAATTTAATGATAATACTATCAAAGAAACTTTGCAGAATAATGATAAATCCATCCTGTACTCACCCACCTCTAATCCCCCCACCACAAATGGAGTAGTAATAATTACTCTAGTAATTTTAATTGAATCTTCATTTAATTATGGCCAGAGAGCTGGATTCCCTCTGGTGGGAGGGAACAATTTAAATCTGCTGACAATATCCCCATCGTCAGTTTATGGTGGCTTTATTTTTCTCAGGGAGCTATAATTGATCATGTTTTGTATTTCCATTTGTCTATTTCTTGGAGTGTTCTGATCATTTTAGTGATA